GCAGACAAAGGTACTCAAATAAAAATATATTTATCAACAGAACTTTAAGTTATTCTAGACATTTGACGAAGATATAACAAAATTTTCGAGCATTCAAAGCTCTTTGCTATTAACTTTGTTGATTTTCAGCAACACGATCAAAAACTTCCTCGTTCTTTTTATTTTTTCCTCATTGTTCCTTCCCTTTCAATTGTTTTCCATTGCACATTGACAGTTACATACAAAAAAAAAATCTAATTTCAAATGCATCCACGTTTGTTGCACCTGTCGCTTTTGTAAATCTTATTATTTGCAACTTTTTGCAGCTCGCGCGACCTGAATTTTTTCACAGTAAATTTTTCTGTTTTTGAAGGATTGCGTGTGGCTTTTTTCCCTTGATTGGGGACTTTTATGTTAAAATGTTTTTTCATGCATATTTTATGCTAAAATGAGTAAAATTTAGACGAAAATGGAAGTGTATTGCATTAATGTAGATTGGCGATGTCACTTTGTATTTAAACTGAGCTTAAATGATAAAAAACTTGATTATTGTATTATTTTGAATCTTTTGTTGGAATCTTTTAACAAAAGTTATCAACCCTAGGTAAACATTTATTAGTGAATTCATTATTGTTTTTTTTTTCAACAAAACTTTGAACCAATTTAATTCACTTTAAAATTTTTCATTACTATTAGTATGAACGCAACATTAGAAAGCAGCTATTACAGTTCATAAATGTCTTTGCCCATTTTTTTTCATGTCGTCTACGCGTTTTGCTACTTCACAATTTCTCATTGTGTAATTAACTCGCATAATTTATTTATGCTTGTATTTAAAAAAAAAAACAATAAAAAGAACTATAGTAATAGTTAAACATTATTAAGTAATATATAGTAGCTTTCAGATGATATTGAAAGTTTTCTGAAATTAATCGCATCATAAAAAATAACAGTAAATAGTTTTTAGTCGAAAGCAGATCATAGAAATAAATTATTAAATGTTGGACTGAGGTCGAAATTTGTAGCCAAAATTTGAATTTTCACTTTTCTTTAGCAAAGTCTAAAACTTTTGTTGAAATAAAATACTAATAAAATGTCGACTGATAAAAAGCACAACAAAATTTTTTTTGGCCAAAATAAGTTGTAGAAAGAAATTATTTAATTTTGGTCTAGTCTTACCATTAATTAATTATCTAATTAAATTATCAATTTAAAATTCATTCAAAATAAATTTCATCAAATCCCTTCCTGTTTTTGATCAATTACTGAAAGTTTTTTTTCAATCCGTATGAAAATTATTACAGAACAGATATTGTTAAAAATGAAATGAAGAATTGTAGAAATAATAGCAAAAGCTAAATTTCATTTAATAATATTCATAAAACGATCTCATTAATAAAAGAAAAAGAAATTAAAAGGAAGAAAAAAGCTAAAAAGCAATCATCATTAAGAGTAGATAAATGAGTGTATTTGCGTTTAAACAAACAAGATATTGTAAATGAAGAAGAAGTTAAAAAAAACTGTTAATGTCATTTCTTATTATCTTGTTACAAAACCGCAAAAACCCTGCTGTAATAATATTGCAATATTTCAGTTGCAACTTGCTGTAAATTATCATATTTAATTACTTGATCTTTTCCAATTAGCGATTCCCGATGAAGAATTTATCTTGACTGACTGGATTCTACCGTACTTATAAATTTTAACTCCCAATTGATTGGAGTTTTTAACATGATTTTTTAAAACCTTAAATTATTTTTCAAATACCCAAAAGTTAAAAATCTAAGAACATTGATTCAGAACCCTTATCATCCGTGTCTCATTTGCCACAACTCACTTGTGTCTATCGTTTTCATTCACAAAGCAAATTTTTCCGGAAGGCATTTTAAGATGAGCTTTTACTCCGCTCCTCATGATGCTTAATGGATCTTGTTAGTAATGAAGAAATAATAATAAAAAAACGAAGAAAATTCGAAGGCGTTTCGAAAACATGAATAAATCAAAGGGGTATTAAATAAAATAAAATTTTCAAATACAGAAAAATTATGGAAAGAGATAAATGACATGAATGATTAATGTAATTAAATAAGTGAAAATGATAGTTGATGAAAATTTCTGTCATTTCCATGAATTTTAGGATAATGCTTGGTTGTTGTAACAAAGAGTCCGAGATAAGGCAAGTAAAAGTCATTTCTTAGTAACTATAGATAGATATTTTTAATCATAGAATCTCTGAATTAATTTGGATTAATAAGGCACGACGAGTTAATTTTTTCATTCATTTTTGTTATCTAATAATGGATTAATATGAAAAGACTGCGATTGTGAATTATTCAACACCATAGCAAATAAATGTCATAATCAAGGAAATTTCTTCTAAAAGAAATTTTTAATTTATTATTTATTATTTGTTACTTTGCATGTTTCATGTTTTGCACCTTTCACTCTCTTGTTTGTTTTGTGAACATATACAGTATATACATTTGTACATAATACGTTTAAATATTTGTCCCGTATAAATTTTCTTTTGACTACAAAATAATAATATTAGAATTTATTACAATAAGTCAAAACGAAAATTATTCCCAAAAGGAAAATTAAAAGAATTTTTTTGTGGGAACAAAAGTTTATGGAAGTAAGAGAATAAATTGTTAATTGTTGTCTCAAAGGATTTAAAGAAAGTTTTTTTTATTTTCTCTTAACTTTTTTTTGAAATAAAGCAGTTACTCGGCATGTTTAAGAAATTAATTTTAATAATTTTTTTTTGGATCATCAAAGAATTATGACCAATTACTTGGTTTAGCTTAGTAATAATAATGGAACCACAATAGAATATAATTTTTATATATGTCACCATACATGAACTGCTAGGTCGCTATAACTCATGTTCTGGCTCTATTATCGGCTAGAAACAACAAGAAAGACTTTTTTCCATTCAGTTCTTGTATCGTGTATTGTTATTATAATATTCCAATAATAACAATAATAATATTATTTAAGATGAAATGGAAATAAATTATATGCCTTGTGTTTATTTCTTAAAAGCATCTCTTTTCCCCTTTTTCTCATCTTCTAGTTCCAAGCGAAGCCCATACACACAATATTATTCCATTCGATGCCATCCATCTACGTAAAGAATAAATTTATGTGTTATTAATAGAAATATACGCATTGTAATGTGGAGTGAAGCATTGATTTATTATGTATCAACTGATTATAATGGCTTTTGCATCTCTTTCACTTCACTTGCCTTCTCTCAATCTCCACTGCGGCCAACATTCACAATTTTTTTTTATATTTTTTTCTTACATTTCTTTTCCACAGAAAGAAACCAGCGTAGCAGGTTTTTCCATTACGGCAATGCTCGAAGCACAACAAAAAACGCGGTAAAAATGTGAATTTCTGCTGATGCAATTGTATCCAACTTTGTACGTCTGCCTATGTGTGCAAAATTGCTAAAACTTTGCATTGATATTAGGGCCTTCTTATGGTCGTCTTCCACTAATGTCGTCAATTATGCATAGAGAATTCTCGAACCTCAAATCACAAATGATTAAGTAAGCGATCATGAAACTCAGTCTTGCCGGTCAAAAAAAATCTCCAATCAAGTTGGGACCCTATTCTCATATGTAAGTAAAATTGTGTGTCTCTCTTACATCAAACTCGCATAAAAGTTGTTGTTTGATAAATTTACGATTTGCAATAAAAAAATATCTTTTTCTACTCATTTTGGATTAATTGGACAAGCAGTAGACAGAAAAGTGAGAAAAAAATTGGTGTGAGGATATAAAATCGTATTGCAATAGGCTATGTTCAACCAAGCAAAAAGATATGGAACGGAAATTGAAATGGCATGATGATTAACAAGTGGCAATAAGCCTCATGTTGAGTATGAAAATGATAAATATGGAATGGAATGCAAAATAAATGGGGATTATGATAAGATCTATACTTAATTGGTGATTGCAACATGAAATTATTGTTTAGATGCTTAATGTAAGTGAATGGAGGAGAGCTGTGATGGGAATCTGATGGTGAGAAATATCGATTAATGTGAGAAAGAAAATTAAAGGATAAATTGATAGGAAGTAAGTGAGATGTAATTGATACTTAGCATAATGAATTGATACTTATGCTTTCGACTTATAGGGGCTTTGATAATAGCACAACGCAATAAGCTTTTAAGGAAATTCTAGCTTTCAATATAAATCAAAATACTTTTTGAATTCTCTTTAGTCTCATGAGAAATTTAATTGAAATGAGAGCACTTCAAAAGTTCCATAATAGCTCAGCTAACTTCAACAATGTCAGACTCATAATTTACAAAACATCGATGTTCTGTCGATATTTTAATGCTATTATTATCATTATTACTAACGCACTATTATCATTTATCATTATCATATGCAACAAAACTCTAACGGTATTTCAGAAGCATAACATCGTCCAATTGTCATTACAACCAACAATGAATCTTCTAGTAAGACAAATCAGCATGAATCATAAGAAGCGAGATCACCATTTAACGATACAAAAATGGCATGAATATCAAGCGAGTCACATCACAAATCACAAGTCACATCTGCTCTGTTTTTCAATCTCTGAAAAAATGCGTGCATTCGTCAACGTATGTTCAACATATTACGCATAGATGCGAAGACAATTAACATAACGAGTTCGTGTACTTTTCATTTTATAGAATATATTTTTTCGCAAATTAATTAAATTAATATTTTCTTAAAAATTGATTACTTGCTTTGTCAGAAATGCGGTGAGTCCTAAAATCTAGGGTTTTAAGGTATAGCTATGCTTTGTGATGAATAATAATACCAATAACAATAATAATTGTAAAATGTCTCATTATTTCTCTACAGTCATTGCAATCCCCATTGCGTTGCATAATTTCTTTCTTTCTTTTTCTGCCACACAAATACACACAAAGATTATGTGTTTTACGCAATTTCTATTTTATTCGCTATTAAGGAAAAAATTTATTTTTTGCAACTTTTTTTTCTGCTTACCTTGCGTGTTTTTTTAACTCTCAGTTGCTGCCTTTTTTGAAGAAAAAAATGCTCACTGGTTATTAGCTATTAGCAACTGTCGTTGGTGACTTTTGCTGATCTACTTGATTTGAAATTTCTTTTACTTGTACAAAACTACTATTGTACGACTAATTATTTCATCATTTACGAGAGATGAAGAAATTTATACTTGAGTTTAGGTTCGCCTAGTGTTTCGGTTGTTGTAAAGTTCACTGTTTAATATAATTTATGGCAATAATGTTTCTCAAATTTTGGCACAGTTTAAAATATGAATACACTAGAATATGGCACGTGATATACTTTTAATAACTATAGTTAAGTAATATCTATCTTTTAATATACTTTAATTCTTATGTTCACTGAATTTTTCACACCTTTTGGATCACTTCTAATCACTTAAAGTCATTTTGCTTTAGACATCCGGATTTTCTTCGTTTCCTGTTTAAATAAATAGAATGAAATATAGCTTGAATGAATTTAAATTATCAAAATAAGTATTTTTTTATTTTTTTAAAATATGTTCATCTAAACTGAACAAAACGAAAAAAGAGGCGAACGTGACAATTGAAAATCATTTTCTTCTAAAATTTAGCCAGAATAAATCGGAATTAAAATTTTGTGTCTTTTTATTTTCTGAATATTTTATGTGTTCTTGAAGACTTGTTCTGATTGATAAAGAAATTGTTCGGGGAGGTTTATTTTTCGATTTTGTTCAGATTTTTATTCTTTCAGGTATATAGAATATGTACATATAAAGAGATTTTTACTATCGAAAGTGTTTAGGACAGAGTTGAAAATTCGAGTATTAATTCGAACATTTCTCATTTAACCATCAACTTCACATACTTGATCTTGATGTTCATTTATTTATATGCGTTATGTTGATGTTTTTAAATTAATGATAAGAACATTAATTCACGCATATAAACAGATTCACAGCTTTCAGAAATTTCTACTATCAGTAAACTCGTGTAGAATTCTATTTTTAAAATATTCATTGATGTAGTTTGTAAGATTCTCAATGAATGTTTAGCGTCACTTTCTTAAATAGTGAAAAAAATCTTAATTTTTGGAAACAGTTGTAATTTTGGTTTCGTATTCTAAAAAGCTTATATTATATTAAGCTTATGTTATATTTCTGAAAATTCAACATGTTCTAAATATTTTTTTAAAGAATAGTTCTTGATTAATGTAAATTGTTGGGAAATATAAGAAAAAAATATAGTTGTTATTAAAAGCCATGCAAAAACAATCTCTATCATTACAGTGAAGTGACCTTGAAAATGATGATGAATTTCTCAATCATAAATATTTAACACACTTCTTTTCCTCTTCTTAATTTTAGTCGTAAATTTTATTCAAAAAAATTTCTCTCGTGATTTATTCGGTTTTCAGTTTTTGCAAGAGAGACTTCATCTTAGTGAAATTCTCAGTTAATTTTTCCCAAGAACATTCTGAAGGTGAAGATTATGGTATGGTCTACTTTTAGGTTATTGAATATTTTTTTATAAAAGTTTTAACAGAGATTAAAATGGATTTTATAGTTCATACCTTTAAAAGTTGCTGATATCAATTTAAAAACTGTTGATTTTATAAGTCAAGAACTTTTCTCTCACGAAAAAAATTGTTCGTTTTCTCAAAAATTTAATTAGTTCTCAATTTTATGAAAATTATTTTTTTCGTCTGACTCACTATGTCACATACACTTTAAATTCACTCGCGGGGAATACTCTCAATATTCTTAATCAATTCGTCGCCTGTTCTTAATATTCTATACTTGTTATTATTATTGTTATTGTTATATGATTAAAGTATTTAAAATATTTCACTTATTCATTCACTTGACGTTATTGTTGTTGTTGTCGTCCATAGAACACGAATATAATATAAAATGAAGAATTCTTCTTTGCTATTGTTCGAATGTCATTATTGAATATTTTATTTATTTTTATTCTCAACTTGCCATTATCTGCTACAAATGCGATGAGATTTGAGACACGTGGGGATTATGTGAAGCAGCACATATAACGAATAGCAAAAAAATTGTATATTTCAATCTTCTTCGCTGTCGTTTTGTTGATTGACTTATTATGGTCACGTAGAATTTTTTTGTTCACTTCTTCTCTCCGGCTGCTTCTTTTATCTCTATTTCTCTCACTTGAAACTTTGTTAGCTGGAATGGATGAACAATATTAATTTTTTGTTATCAACTAGAATTTTTTTTGGCTAATAAATTTTTTCATTCTTTTCTGTGTTCGAATATGTTTTTTTTTGTTTTTATTTTCGATTCAAACTAGCTTGATTTTTATTCTGTCATGATAATGCACTTGTTATTATTTTCAATATTATGTCACACAAGTTGAGCGTTTGATAATTTTGCGGCTACATCTGAAATAATTTTTAGATTCTAGACAATTTTATAGACACGCACGTTTCGACCTTTCTACTTTTTCAGTTCTGTTTTTTCTCTTGATTATCTTTCTTAAGAAATTGAATTAAAAATATTGATTTGACTATATTTTGAAGCTCTTTTTACTTATTTATGATAGTAAAATTATGATGATAGCATGTCTGATAGGTTTATGATGGATTGTTGGCCAACAAGGCAGTATAAAATTTGATTATATTAATAAAAAATATTTCGTGTCAATTAAATATAAATTTTGCATAACTGTGGATTTTTTTACCTGTGGATATGCTTGATTGAAAACTGGAAAACATCGATGTCTATTTCTTAAGAAATGACCCAAACTATTAAAAAGGGACTTTCACTATTTCACCTGTGTCTATTCTCAATTTTTTTTTAAAATTCGCAATCATGACTGGCTAATAAAATAACACAAAAGCAGAGCCTAAATCGCATTTAAAAGAACAAACTGAAGTGATTGTTCTGAACAAAAAAAAAAGTTTCAAGAGCTTTAACAATTCCTTCTCATTCTACATTTAATTCATTTGATTAAACAATACAAATTTACTATCGGCAGCAGCAAAACAACAAATAAACAACAGATCATCATCATCATCAAATAATAATGGATTTAACAATGAGAATGTAAGAAAAAATTATTTACAACAAAAGGAGCATTGGCAACAAAGAAATTTCATTCAAAGAACTTTTTTTTTCGCTTGTTTAAAGATTGAGGAAGCGAGCAAGCAGCAAAAAATATAAATATTATATGAAGGAGAGAAAAGAATGAAAGAAGCCGAGAGGCGCAAAAGAAATGCTATGAAAATTATGTGAAGTGATATCAGCAAATAAACGAAAAGAATATAAAGTGATCAGCACCGAACAATGAAACGTCTTTGAGGCTAACAAACAATTGAACATGAACAATCACAGATACATAAGAGAAGCATGAGAAATGAAAAGAGGACGATGAATGTAGATACTATGAAATTTGAAAGTATTTTCCAGATTTTTCACAAATTTCCTCAGATAAAAAAATTCTATTTAAAATTTGACATGAAAAGTGATCAAGCAAATCAAAAATTGAGTAGTTCTTGTTAAATACATTGCATTAACTTTCTTAACCTTGAGCTTAAGTTCTTGCATCATACAATGTAAGTAATACACATCATTGTCTTTTTCAATCTGTTTCTCTTTCTTTTTCACCGACCCTCTATCTACCCCTTCTTCCTTTACTGATATTTTAAATGGTTATGATGTAAGTATGATAAAAAAAAAATATTTCCATTGTATGTACTTTTTGCTGCTCGAAAGAAATGAAAAATGATTCATTATGAATTTTTCTTGCATTTCAAATAAAACACAGAAAACGAGCGAAATGAAGAAGAAAGAGTTGTGATAATGGAAAATGATTGTTTTACAACACAATAATGCAATAGATTTGTTTTTTGTTTTGCTTGTGATAATTTTAAATTCTTTTGTTACTCTGTACATTATGGATGCTTTATGTATTATTAAGATGTGATGGAATTTCTCACGAATGGCAAAGAAACAAAAAAAATATTTATTTTTTTTGCTGCTCGAAGACTTCCTTTTGTGATTCTCTGTTTTACCATCTCTTCATTTGTGCAGGTTTTTGTGTTCGGAATTCAATTGAATAAAATAAAAAAAAATAGTTTTGCTTTTTAATCAAATAAAAAAAATGTAAAGACAATGCTCAGTTTATTTAAATGGAATCATTATGGGAAATTAAATAGGTATCATGATTTATAGCAACTGATGTCCAATGATTTGTGAAACTTTTTTAATTTCCATCAAAAAACGTGTAAGTAATTAGTTTCATGAAAAAGATACTATTTTTTAATTTTCAGTATGAAGGACTCATTTTCAAAAATATCTCAAAGGATGTCAAAATGTGTGAATTATAAAGCTGGATTTTCTGTATATAAACTTTTAATATGGTAATACTTAGTCAAGCTTGGAAGTTTGTGGCTTTCTATTTAACTAGGGTGACCATCTGCGTAGTTTTACAACGGACAGTCCTGTATTTCAAAACCCTGTCCTGTATAAATTTGAAAATTTTGTTCCGGGTCCTGTATTTTTTTCACGAAAATTTACGTTTTTTTTTCAAATTTTCCTTTGTGTCCTGTATTTTTTTAGGAAATTTATCAAATGTCCTGTATTTTCATAAAAATTAGATGGTCACCCTATATTTAAGTTGTGTTTTTTGAACTTTCCAAATAAACTTACTTTTAGTAAAATTAATTTTATTTTAGAGATTTCAGTAGTTTCTGAAGAAATTAACATTCTCCCCTCTGACTTTGTATTTAAATCTTTAGAGAACATCACAATAAAGCAATTTGTTTCTTATATTTACTTTTAAACTATTTTATATTATTCCAAATTTGACAATGGATATACTATAATAATTTTTTTTGCAGTAACAATCACTGAAGCTTTGTGTACACAAAATGATGTAATCAACAATAAAGAGACATTATTGAATTTAATAAAGCAGTAGATTTATCAAGTGAAACTCAAAACTTATGAGCACAGTGAAGTGACGAGCGCGCCACTACTTGCTATGAAAACTTACATAGAATGATTGTTAAGACCAAGACAATGGAATTTAATTGTTATTATAAAATTACTTATCATATTTATCTTCATCAAGTGATGCTTGAAGTCTTGAAAAGGAAAAATTATTAGTGTTATTTTATCTTCAAAATTAAACTTTTTAGAAAATTGGAAAAAAATTATGATAAAATCTTTTTCTAAATGAATTTTTGTATAGCGAGTGCAGTTTCTTCAATTATTAAATATTTTTATTTTTTGTCGTATCTCTTCTGAAACTCAAACTTTATATGAGACAATAAAATCCGTTAATTCCGTTTGTTCATATAGAAGAACTGTCAAATACAATAAAATGATTTATTAATAGTAAATGATGATGAAATATTAACTTGTGAAAGCTGATAACTAGTTCATATTAGTGCCAGATGAGGTAATTGAATTTAAATACTTTTACTATTAATTTTTTGCAAATCATCTCGAAATGATTTATTTTGTTGCCTTATCGGTGTATTTGTAAAAAATTGAATTAAATCATAAAAAAAATCAAGTTCAATAATTTACAACGGAACTTGATTTTTATTTTATTACCTTGTAATTGAAATGTTTGGTTCGATTGTACTAATATCAGATTTTGAAAGAAATTAGTTGATAAAAGGTAGTTGGCAATCATCAAATTTTCCAGGATGATTTACTTCTCATATAAAAAAATACTGCATATCATTTGCTTACGTCTTTAATCAAACAGGCTTTTTCACTAATATGAATGTGTTTTTTAAATGAAAGGGGATTTCCAATTTTATTAAATTATTAAATCTAGTTTTCAAATAATTTTTGGACATTTCACGGTTACAATTAAATTCAATTATTGACTAATAATCAAAAGTTTTTTTCTCTCTGCCTATAAACTTTAATAAGCTAGAAGTGAGGGCTGTCGAACAAAAATTTAAAAATTATTTAATTTGACTTTTTGCACTCAGAAAACAATTTTAATAAAATGGAGCAAGAAACTGTCACTTCAAAGATTTATGAGCAGAAAAAATTTGGATTAAATATAGCATGCAATATTTTATATTCGTGAAATTCCACTGTTCATGTAAATTATAATATATTGTTAAGTTGAAAAATCGGAAGGCGAAAAATTGAATCAAATCAATACAAATAAAAATTTAGCTGGAAATTACTGCATTAAGTCAGAATTGCATCAAAAGCGCGTAATTAGTCAAACAATGTAAATTAAATGAACAAAAAAAATCACACAATTAATTCATGATAATTCACAAATTGCTACACCAACAAATTGATTTTTTTTTCTCATTACAGCATCGTAATTATCATTTTGTGTGCTGCTTATCAATTGCATTTTCAAGTAGTTTTGCACATGTCGAACACAGAAAGCAAATTTTTGTTGCATTTTTTTCTTCACTTACAGCGACTTTTTCACGTGCCGCGAAAATAATCTTTTTTCCACTCAAACAAAAAAAAAATGATTTTATTTTTTCATCTAGTAGTATGTGCACGCACAGACTGAATTCACGAAACTGAGGAATTTTTTTTTCAATTTTCCAAAAAAATCTTTTTTGATAAAACTTTTTTTTCTTCACAATTAAGAATTTTCTTTTTTTTATCCACTTTTTTTACTTTTTCGCGAGCGCGAGGAGTCTTTCTCTCTCCGGCTGTCTTCAAACGACTGCCGTGGTCGTAAAAAGAATATCTCTATATTGTGTATGATTGTGCTTGGCTGTTGTTATTTTTTTCATTTTTGTTCACAATTGTTTTCTGCCTTCTTTTTTGTGTACAATTTGATCCGTATATACACAGCATCAGTGTGCTTATGCTTGTGTGTATTTGTGAGAAAAGAAA